ACTCCATGGTCTACTCCAGTTTTATTTCACTTTAGAATGTATTGAGAATTGAGCCTAGAGCCAGGAAAAAGAAAGAACTGACTCCACAGAAGTGTCTTCTGCACCCTGGGTATGCTGGAGTTCTGAAGAATCTTTCGTCTCTCATGCATGCATTAGCCTGCACAGACAACTCTCCTTCAAAACGTCACTGTCTCTTTTTGTGTGAAAAAACTAGCTGTAAAAGAAAATTCATGCACAGAAAGAAGAAACAAACACTCTTACAGTTTCATATTAACAATATGTCAGGCAGTTTGAAGGCATGGGTACGAGGGCATAAATCAAAGATCCCTGGCCTTACGAAGCCTTCAATGCCCTAAAACCCATGCATCTGGCCACTGGATTTGGACACTAACTATTAGTCCTACACGAAAATTTCTGTCTTAAAATTTAGGTCTACAAATATAAGGCCTTGAAGCAATACCTTTAGTGTTTATGGTTTCTATTAGAAGGTAAAGTTGCTATTAATGACAAATGAAAGTACAAAACTTTCAATAAAATAAAAAAGTTCATTGACAGTTTTTTTTAAAGATTTTGTTTATTTTATATAAGTATACTGTAGCTGTCTTCAGACACACCAGAAAAGGGAACTGGATTCTTTCACAGATTGGTTGTGAGCCATCATGTGGTTGCTGGGAATTAAACTCAGGACCTCTGGAAGAGCAGTCAGTGCTCTTAACCTCCGAGCCATCTCTCTAACCTGACAGTTTATTTTTATTTTTTAATTATTTAAAATTGTCTTACATAATATACTTTCATCACATTTTTCCTCTTATCAACTTGTTCCCAAGTTCTCCCTACCTCCCTTTCCACACAATTTTATCTTCTTTCTCTTTCTCAAAAAAAAAAATTCAGAGCAGACAAGACAATTAGACAAAAACAACGCTACAATGCTAAAATAAAATTAAAAACCCTTTAAAATATGGAATTTATTTTGTGTTGGCTAACTACTCTGGACATGGGGGCCTACTCTGGACTATGGTTGATATATACAGTCACACTTCATTGAGAAAACTGATTTCCCCTTTGCCATCAAGAATCAATTACAAATAACTTCTTGGTTACTGGTGGGACTTTGTGTTCACTTCCCCTCCTCAGTGCTGGGGACCCACCAGGCATGAACTTGTGCAAGGTTGTATGTGTAGTACCACAGTCTCTCTGAGTTCATATGTGTATCATTGGTCCAGTTATGTCTTGAAGACAGTTTCCTTGTAGTCACCCACCCCTCTGGTTCTTATAATCTTTTTGCCTTTTCTTCTAGATGGATCTCTGAGTCTTGTGGAGAGGGGTTTGATGAAGACACTTAAAGTGGAAATTTCTGGTTTCTTTGAAGACTCAGTTGTATTATGTGATGTTTTTCTGGAAACTGTCTTACGAGAGGATTTTTTTTTTTTTTTTTTTGCTGAAGCAGACACCTGACATGGGAGGATTTTTTTGCTGAGAACAGACACATGGTGTTTTTCTGGAAGCAGCCTGAAAAATTACATGTGATGTTTTGTTACAGCATACACTTGAGAGAGCATGTGATGTTTGAAAAAGGTCTAACTATAACCAGTGGGTGATGTCGTATGGTATTGGTTCGCCTTACCATTCTTTGCTGGCCATCGACTGTCGTACTTCATAGAGGAAAACACATCAAAAGACTTCTGGTGGTGTTTCAGAAGCTTCTTGCCACTTCCTCAGACTCAGGCCGATTGGCAGAGAGAGCATCAGGGTTTCTTCTGGATCGACCTACCATTGCTGAATCCGTAACAGTGTTTTCAAGTGGATTCAGCTGCCACTGATGCTTCCTATGAACTAAACTGCTGATATCCTGACAGCACAGATTAAATTTAATCCAAAAAAAAAAAAAAGATTTCTAAACAGGCACACATTTTTTTTTCTCTATTAACCTTTCCTTTAGACTATCTATGATGGGTGGTAAGCTAGAAGGAAGGGTTAAAGAATTTTAAAACCCTTATTAAAAGTGGATTTTTAAGAGAATCTAAGCCTACAGATACCCCAGTTAGGACTGTGTGAATATATTTTTTAAAGTGGTAGTTTTTCATTATCTCTGGCTAGCTCCCAAATGAATGAGACAGAGACTATAAGACTTATTTGATAAACTTTATGGCTCAATCACTGGGCAGTTAATAGTCTAATCTAATCCTCTAATCTGGCCACTTCAGCCAAAATCCCTGAGATGCTTGCACTTTGGTATTGGTCAGGCTTTCTGGGCTTCAGGTGTTTTTCTGTGATGTTTCTCTGGATCCTATCCTTGTGGCAAATCCCCTCTTCCTCTCTTTCTCTCTCTCCTCCCCCTGGCTGGCAGAAGCCCCATCAGAATAAATATGAGCACTGTTTATACAAACTTGAAACAGGAGATACTTAGAATAAGCATTACAATGAATGTCATATCTGGATTGCAACAAGATTTGAGGGCAAAGAAATCAGCATTTGATTAATACAAGGATAATCTTTACACACTGCACAAAAACATTATGCCTACTGTACTGAGTGCCTCGAAGTCTCTGAACTCTCTGCACCTTGTCCAGTTGTGGATCCTTGAGTTAGTTTCCATCTCTTGCAAAAAGAAGCTTATCTGCTGTAGCCTGAATGATGTACTGATCTACGGATACAGCAGTATGTCATTAGGAGTCAGTATATTGTTTCTTCAACAGAATAAGAGTAATAGATTTTCCCTTAGGCACATGACCTGTCTAATATCAAGTTCTTGGCCACTTCAGCAACACCATGTATCTGTCACATCTCATGGAGTAGGCCTTAAATTACATCTAAAAATGGTTGGTTACTCCTATGTTTGTGCCACTAGTACACCAGTATATCTTGCAGCCAGTTACTATTGGTAGGTCACAGGGTTTGCAGATGGGTGACATTGGTGATGACCTTTCTCCTCCAGTAGTGTGCAGAGTACCTTCTAAGTGCTGTGAATATGAGCTAGTAGGAATGGAACTTCTATTTGGACACTAGCTTGACCTTTCCTTATTTGATGACAAGCAGGTGTTGTCCCTAGCAAAAACGACATTATCACCGAACTATGAAGAGCAACAAATAGCCCTGGGGCTGATAGCTTTGTAATGAATTATCACAACTTTGAAGTACTCAAATTGCTAATGCTTACCGTCGTACATCAACCAACACTGTATTGCAAGGCAGTCCTTTGGGTATTATTTTTCTACATGATGGAACAAACAACCAAACTTAACTTGTTTCTAACTTGGCCAGAGAGTTTGGTGCTGTGGGAAGTTTCAGTACAGTTGCCTAGCGTATTGAAGAAAATGCCACCCCAAGTAAAAGGTGGGGCTCCCAGATAAGTAAACAAAAGCCATGCCAAAAAAGATAAACAAGTCTCTGAAGATCACTGCCAAGTATCTCTAAAACAACACCAAAAAAAAAAAAAAAAAAAAACTCTCAGCCAGGCTTGCTTCATCTCCCTTAGCTCTTCTTAATACCGAGGATGTCAGTCACAGCCCAACAATTCTCCCTTAAGTTTCAGAAAGATATAAAGGTTCTATAGGTAGGTAGGGAAGGCGAATATGGTCAAAGTATATTGCATGTATGTATGAAATTCTCAAAGAATTAATAAGATAACATGTATTATTTCTTTAAAAAGTAATCTTTAATTACTAAAAATAAAAACAGAGAACTGGCTAACTAACATCAGAGGGTTTTGGATTGTTGTTGTTTGTTTGCTTGTTTTGTTTTTTGGGCTGTCACCTAGGTTACTCTCTGATAGGCAGCAGGCAGAGATGGCATATATGGTGTCTTGTGGGGCTGCTGAGAACACAAAGTAGTTCAAGTCACCATGCATCTTCTTGTTTGAGACAAGGCAGAGGCGTCGCTTACTGACAGTCACACCTAGATTCTTTGATTAATACATCTGGCTGCAGAGAGCCATCCAACTTGAAAGGTGAGATACCAAACCTTGGGAATGTGTTTGGTGATATATTCCCTCCCTTCCAACAAAGGGGACTTTAAGTGGTTCTGAATCACAGTGCCAATGCACCGGCCAGAGTGACCACAGAGCACAGGGAGTCTCGTTTAGAACGTTAACCAAGGAGTAATACTTCCCCAGCAACAGTTCCTGCTGTGGAACAGGCTTTGAGCATCACTTTCTTTTTCAAGAATAAGGACAAAAACCAACCAACCAACAAACAGACAAACAAATAAACAAAACCAAAAACCAACCAACAAACGGACAGACAAACAAACAAAACCAAAAACCAACCAAACAAACAAAAAACAGGTGACAAGCATTACTAGAAGTGGGGCAAGGATGCTGTCTGAGATAAAAATGGAGTACAAACACATGAGATCTAAATATTAATAGATTCCCCCCTTTAAAACTGCTGTGTGATGAAACCAATACTTCATTATAGTAAGTTATTCACCTATAAAGTACAAGGTGAGTTTGATATCTGAATGGTTTTATGATCTCTAGTATTATAAGGTTCAAACAAAGGGAGGGGGGAGCAAGAACCAGACATTGCTTACCGAAAACCGCACGATTGGTCATGCTCTTGGTCCTTAGAAATCCATGTATTTCTAGAAAGAGTTATTCTGTGGTGTTGGTAAGTTAGGGAGGCAGAGGGACTTAAAATTCTACCTTTCTTTCTTTCTATCTACCTTTCTTTCTTTCTTTCTTTCTTTATTTATTTATTTCTTTATTTATTTATTTTCTTCCTCCCTTTCTTCCTTCCTTTCTTTTTCTTTTTTCTTTCTTTTCCTCAATTTATTTACTTATTCATTTTACATCCCAATCACAGCCCCACTCCCTCCTCTCCTCCCAGTCCCTCCCTCACACTCTCTTCCCTCAACCCCGTTTCCCTTTCTCCTCTAAGAAGGGAAGCTGCCCCCCCACCATGGGTACCAACCCATCCTGGCACATCAGAACTAGGTGCATTCTTTCCCATTGAGACCAGACAAGCCAGTCCATTGAGGGAAAAGGGATCCAAAGGCAGGCAACAGAGGCAGCCCCACTGTAACCATTAGGGGACTCACATGGGGTACAGAGCTAGACAGAGAATTCTCAACAGAGGAATGTCTGATGGCTGAGAAACAAAGAGTTGTTCAACATCCTTAGTCACTAGAGAAACGTAAATCAAAATGACTCTGAGGTTCCATCTTACACCTGTCAGAATGGCTAAGATCAAAATCTCAAGTGACAGTTTATGCTGAGGGAGATATGGAGCAAGGGACACACTCTTCCATTATTGGTGGGAGTGTAAACTTGTACAGCCACTTTGGAAATCAATTTGGTCACTTTTTCAAAAATTGGGAATAGTTCTACCTCAACCATACCACTCCTGGACATATACCCTCAAAAAGCTCCACCTTACCACAGGGACACTCGCTCAACTATGGTCATAGCAGCTTTGTGTGTAATAGGCAGAAACTGGATTCAGCTTCTTTCTGATGAACAAATTCATAGAGCAGAACTGGTCCCTTTGTGAATGTCCATGCATGTTTCAAGTTGAGACACTAGAGGGAAGCAAAGTAAGAAAATCAATGTGGCACTGTTAAAAGAAAGCCACTGCTTGCATTCTGATATATTCTGTTACTTTGTTGGGTGGAAAGAGTTTACATGGTTTCAAAACATGGAAGCTTGGATTTGATTCCCCAAAATGCTAAATTCATTTTTCAAAAGCCAAATTACAGATGGAGTCTCAGACACGGCACTGTGACTGTTGGACTTGAGAAAAACAGTAAAACCACAAGTCAGCTTTGAGAAGGGCTTCACTTATACAAACCTGTTATTCAAGGCTTATTCTAATTCTCTTCAAGAAATTGCATTCCCTGTCACACGTGGCTATACGTTAGAAACGGGAGAATGGAGAATGACCCCTTCTGACTTTTTCCTTCTTAGTGAGTCAATGCTTTCAGAATAGAGAAAAAAGACATAGATAACTTAGTGACCACACTTTATTGCCATCCCCTCCCCCAACCCCAACAAGTAACTGTGATCTGAGAGTTTTGTTATATATGATAGGCTCTCTGGGGGTTCCTAGTGGTTAAAATTTCATCTTATGTCCATTTCTTCTCTTCACAGGAGCTGAGAAAAAAATTGGGGGTGAGAGAACACACCCCCCTTTTGCTATGCTAGTGACTAGTGTGAAGCATGTTTTACATGTGGGAAAGTTTTAGGACTCTTTTGGTACCCAGGCAATAATGGTGAACCTCAGCTTGAACCTGTAAATGGGTTTTATCAACTAATCTTCAAACTAAGGGATTATTCTTACTGAGAGAGGAAAAACCCGCTGAGTTTCAGAAAAGTTATCAAACATATGTGTGGAGGCATATTTGATTTAAAGACATATTTGTAAAATGTATATATGTGTTATGGGGGTTTGGATTTGTTTTGTTTGTTTGTTGAGATAGGATCTCTCTGTATAGCCCTATGTGGCTTGAAACTCACTTTGTAGACCAGGCTGACCTTGAACTCTCAGAGATCCACTTACTTCTGCTACATGAATGATGGGATTAAAGTTGTGAGCTGCTATGCCTGGCTATGTGCTATGTTTAAAGAACCAGCGTTAGAACAGGAAAAGCAAAGTGACTGCCACTCTCCACTGATGGTGCCTTTGTAAAGTCAGAACTTCTGTGTGTCACAGGAACCTGAAAAGCCTCTGTATGTTTGTAAGAATAACTGACTATATGAATATAATGAATATATAAAAATAAGGAATGCATGAGTATAACTTAGCTCTTAGTCTATTCTGAAATTTTAAAATCTGAGATTTTACAAATTCAGGCTCAAATTTAATGGTGTTTAATATCCTAAATTTTTGCAATCAGAAATGGACTCTGAAAAAAAACTAATTTTGAGTGATAAAATGACTGAAAACTATCACACCTGTGTTTTATTTATCGATGAGTTTCAAAATGGAACAGTTCCCCCTAAGTCCTAAGGTCTATAAGAATTAAAACAACGATAATAACAATGATTGCCGCTCTTTTCTTTCCATCTTTGGGTTTTGCAGTTCACATACTCAGCTAAGAATTCTAGAATACAGCAATCCTACGCCCTGTAGATATTTTACCTAAACGAGAAGGCAAAGACTGCTTTATACTGCAGGCTTACCGTGTGTGCGGTGGTTTCTGCAATGACAGCTCCATGGGAAAAACATCTTTTCTTCACAAGTACCTTGTCTCTTGAACTAGAACACAGCCAAGCACAGCAAGCTTGAGGAATTGAAACTGAGAAACGCTTCCTCATCCTGAAAATAAGTCACACACTAAAAAAGACTGCATAAAATTGAGTTGCATGAATTCTGAATATTTTGATTCACTGAAAGGCTACTTGAAGCTAGCCACCCAGAGGACTTTTGGAAAATGAACTGCCCACACAGAGAAACACGTGTGCTGTAAGTCAGACGAGCCACTGAAAGATTAAACATGAAAATACTATTAATATTATCCATGACTGAACTAGCCTATTCTAGTTTTTAGAGAAGCAACTGGAAGACTTGAAACTTAGCCTCCCAGTCTCTGAACCCAAAGCGTGTAACTAACTCTTCTAGCCCATGAGTACTTGGTCACAGGTGAAAGGCAAGATTTGGGTTGTCTATGGTAAAAGAGACAAATTTTTGCTCTAAACTAAAACATGGGCAAAGATTACAATCAATAGCTAGAATTAGAAAAAATCCAATGCTGTGACCTGCATGCCTTTAGAATTGATCTGCTGGGCCAATGGAAAATGAAGACATGACCAACACAACAGAAAAGCGGGGGTCGGGCGGCGTGGGGGCGAGCAGTGTGGGGACAGGCACCATCAGGGTAAGCATTGTTGGGGCAGGCATCGTTGGGGCTCGCATCGTTTTGGGGGGCATCAAAGAGGCGGGCATCGTCAGGGCGAACTGTGGGGGTGGACAGTGTGCTCTGATGGTGCACCAGCAGCCCAGAAACTCGGTGCGTTTGTTGTATATAGGTGATAAAGCAGGCAGACTAGCTAATCTTGGTAAACGGTCTGTAGAGGAGTAGTCAAATACTGATCTGGGAGAAGGAAACTCTGTTGATACACATTATTGTCATCTGTAGAACAAGGGGAAAGCCCTCGCCCCCAGGGCCTGAGTCATTGCGCCCTTGACGTGGCTCCACAAATGCCAACAATGCACGTTCACTCAGCTTCATCTGCACCACACAACACCATTGTTATTACACTGGTTGAAGCAATGAGGTCCATCACCCTACCTCACCTCAGGGCATCTCTAGGGGTCTTGACATTAATCAGATTCTGATTCAGCTAGAATGGGGGGGAGGGACCCCAGTATTTTTTTTCATTTCTAACAGATTTACCTCAGTTTGCTAGACTACACACTGACGGGTGAGTTGCAAAGTTTACCCAATGCCTCTTTGTCCTATCAGGCTAGATTTCTATCTGTTGGTCAAATGAAAGGCTAACACCCAAGTTTTCAGGTTTCACCGGGTTGGTGAACTGGTGTGGGGAAGCCAGCTGCACCAGGAGGGACATGGATCACAGCAGGCTCCAAGTGAGGTTTTGGAGATTAGGATGGCGTTTAGGCGGAGTCACGTTGTGCAATCTCCCTGCACGCCTCCCTTTGACTCCCACGTCGAACCTGGCCTCTGTCCTCAACGTCTCATCACACGGAATGAAAATAAAAACACAAGGCTTGTTATACTAAATGGGACAGGAGACTTGCTACTTTTTTATTTCACATTGGGTAGTAATAAGGGCCACATTGTATTTTTAATCCGATGTGTGAGTATGCACCTTCTCAACTTTGAACACAGCAATGAAGTCGTAGCTACATTCATACCTTCCTTCTTTGTTTAAGGTGGCACATTGGTGCATGCTGTGTGTTGGAATATATGCCAAGTATTTAAATGCATTGTGCCCCTTGTGCCTATGTCACCACCACAATTGACCCTAGTTTAAAAGTGATAAAAATTGGGATTTATGATTTAGGTAACAGCTGGCAGCAGCTGGGTCAGACTGAGTGAGCCACTTGTTTCTAGTGGTCCTCCTGAAAAGCAAGGCTTCCTAAGTTTTGTTTTCGATTTTATGTTAGAAAGAAGAGTGTGAGGATCTCCTCTATAACACAGTTTCAAGCCACCAAAATACTTGTAATGTGATATGGGAAGCAGTCCAACCTCCTATGGACTGTAGACCAGATCACCAAGAATTAAACAGTTTCTGATTTAATTTATATGACAATTTACTTTACCTGTGTGCATGTAAGGTCCCTTAGAGGATCAATTTGCTTTATGCATATTCCTTTCACACATCTAATTTGCAGGCACAGCTCCTAGTAGCAGCCAACTCTTCTTCATGCAGCCTTCTGACGGTGGTTACGTAAATATTAACACACACTTATTTGGTTATTGCTTATGTTATGCAGCTAAAACTTAGAACGTGTCACAGAGCCTCTCCTTTGTCATCTGAATCACTTGGTGCTATTAAGGCATAGCTGTAATTATAATTAGAGACTTTCTAGAATGGGTAGAATAAGGAAATGGACGTTCAGAGGAGAAAGACCTCCCAGTGGTTTAAGCAATCCAAAAAGAATCAGGCAGTTCCCAGAAGCCCAGAACGGCAATATGGATGCATAGTGGCTGGAAAAGGGACCTCTTGGCCTTGAAGACAGGGACCCAAGTCAGAAAGTGAGTGTAAAAGCAGGGTGTGGATGCACTGGATTGAGAAGGGGTTCTGATGCTTGTCCCACTGATGTTGAAAAGTTTGGTCCTGATAACCCTGCTCTGTGAACTTCAAAACAAGCTCTGATTAAGAACAGTTTAAAAATCAAGTAAGCACTTAACTTGCAGTTGTCCGCACACTGAGACATCAGACTCACCCTACCTTGCATCCTATCCTTCAGGCAAGCATGCAAGGACCCTGTGTAAAATGCACTATGGGATTTTAATAACTAGGTAACATGTTAAATCAAATAGATCACCGACAATGTTCTTCACTTACATTTCTACATCATTGATGAAAATTAATGGGCTCCTTTTGTGAAGTTTCAGTAAATTAGGAGACAGAACGGTTCAAAATTCCTTAGGTGAGTGTTTAAGCATGTGTTACATTGAATCTTTTAAAACATTTTTATTAATTATTTGAGATTTCCACACAATGTATTTTGATCATATTCACCTTTCACTCCTCCCTGTAACTCCTCCCAGATCCACCCCGCCTTCCTACCAACCCAATTTTGTGTCCTCCTCTCTTTGTTTAATTACCCTCATACTGCCCACATACTCCTTAGTATATGGCCATCGACTGGAGCGTGTTATTACCAGGGACCACACCCATGAAGAAACTCACTCTCTCTCTTTCCTAGATGCCATCAGCTGTCCACAGCTTCTCATAAACTACAGAGGGTTGTGGACCTTTTCCCTCTTTGTTCTAGAATGTTGACCAGCTTGATCTTGTGCAGGTCCCGTGCACAGCTGCTGGAAGGTCATGAGTGTAGCTGCCCTGTCATGTCTAGAAGACACTGCCACACTCCAGTCCGCCCCAGCCTCTGGCTCTTATAGGTGTTCTGTTCCCTCTTCCTTTGTGGTCCCTGTGCTCTGAAGGGGGTGTGTTACAGACAGCTCATTGTGGGCACACACTCCCACTGACTCTAGGTGATGTGACTAGGTCACCTTAGACCCAGGAAGGTAAAAACGGCTTTGTCCTTAAAAATCTGTTGTCCTTCTTGAGCAGATGGGTTCACAGAATAAAAGCACAAACTTCCGGTTCTGTTACAGAGAGATAAAGCTTTGTGACATCCCGGCCAATGGGATACAAGCAGAGCACTGGGTGAAGCAACAGGAAAGACCCTTAAAGGGTGGAGCATACTCTTTGCCTTTCCTCACATGAAGTGGCTGGCTTGGGGATCTGAAGGATTGTGCCCGAGAAGAAAGACCCTAGATAGTAAGGCATCTACACAGAAGCCTCGAAAGCCTCAAGGAGAACGAAACTTCTGCCGTTAGAGGCATTAAATGCCTATATCCAGAAGTCAAGAACGAGCTTCAGTCTTGAAGTCATTTGAATTTTACTGATAGTCACAACCAAATCCAACTCAATTCTAATTATTTATTTTATGTTTGAGATTATTATATGGTTACATCATTTCCTTTTCCTTTGTTCCTTCCAAACTCTCCCATATGACCCTCCTCACCTAAATTTCAAATTCATGACCTCTTCTTCATTACTTGTTTCTATATGCTTACATGTTTATGCATGTATATTCCTAATATAACCTGATTGAATAAATCCAATCCATTTTTAAAAATGGTTTCACCATAGAGCCTAGGCTGGCCTCCAAATCACTGTGTCACCTATGCTGGCCCCAAACTCTTGATCCCACTGTCCTAGTCACCCTAATGGCAGTGTCATACGCGAATGATAACGAAATCCAATTCCAAATAATTCCCTGAACAAGCACATTTTCAATAATAAAGTATATTTCACTAAAGCTAAATGTTCACAGTGGGTCTGTTTTTCCTTTTTTTATTGGATATTTTCTTTATTTATATTTCAAATGTTATCCCCTTTCCTGGTTTCCCAACTCCTGCTTCTATGAGAGTGTTCCCCCATCCACCCACTCCTGCTGCCCTGCCCTGGCATTCTTCTACACGGGGGCATCCAGCTTTCATAGGACCAAGGGTCTCTCCTTGCATTGGTGCCCAACAAGGCCATCTTCTGCTACACATGTGGCTGGAGCCATGGGATATATATACTCCATATATACTCTTTGGTTGGTGGTTTAGTCCCTGGGAACTCTGGGGGTCTGGTTGGTTGATATTGTTCTTCCTATGGGGTTGCTAACCCCTTCACAGTGGATCTTGATATACCAAGGGAATTAATTAAATGGGGGTAAGCTCACAGAAAATCAGCTTTCACATGATGAGTTTATGCAATTCATCATAAAAGCCGACTGGTGACATAAGGTCCTCAGAATGTGCCCTCTTCACTTCTGTCACCGATTCAAGAACATGCTCCAGTCGCCAGATTTTTTTTTCACAAATATTAAACAACACTGAAACACCCAGTGCCTCTATTGGTTAATATAAAAAATCGTGTCAAATGACTGAGACTAAAGGGGAAGATACAGAGCTCCGAGACTCAGCAACTCTCTCACTGACGAAGGAAAACATTAGTGAACATTAGTGAAAGAGCAGTGGTTTGGATTTTTCTCTACCAGACCAAATCACGTCAGCCCTTCTTG